GCAACTATTAAATAAGCGATCCTTTATAAATTGTAGAGCTTTTCAAGCTGCATCTTGTGGTATATTTTGTTTTTTTAATACAACATATTAAGTGATAACAAAAGGAAATCCAAAAGTGCCCGATTTTTTTATGCCACTCTCGTTATGATTCAAATGCTACCAGCTAGTTTCCAACAAAAAACAGTTATTATCAAAATTTTACTATTATGATATCAGTTGAATAGTGATCAAATAGCATAGAAAAATAGAGCGAAAGACGCTCTATCTTTTCGTAAAAAAAGAAAATTTTTTCAACGTTTCTATAAGGAAATTTGGTAATGGCGCCACTACTTTTGGATATCCTAAGTAGTTTGTGAGGATTTTATGTTTATGGAATTTCTTTTAGTCTCGTTGATGAGCTCTGGTTCGTTTAAAAATAACCTAACGCATACATATGAGACTCAGATGTTTGGGTGAGCCTACCTTACTCAACAGGATTTATATATGCAAATATATTTCATGGAATAGATGGCGCGACTACGTCTAAATATATATATATATTATTCAAAACGACACATGTGTTATTCTTCTACTTGTTTATGTTGCTTTTAATATTTGAATTCGACTGTAATTTTGCCGTTTTTTAATGACTTAATATTATGGAATTTTCATTTGAAGAATTCTGAGATAAATATCTGCAATAAGAATTTAGATTTACAAGCTGTACATAATGATGAATAAACGATACATAAAACGATAGAAGAGAAAATGGAGAATATTCATACATCGATCGATTGAATAACAAGACATACATAGAAGACATATGTATAGGTGAGAAAAAAAAATGCAACGAACAACATGGCGTGACTAGCTTACATTGTCGATGCAAACAATGCAGTATAGCAGTGAATCACTTCTTCATCGAAACAAATACCAGTAGGACGTATATTTTCTGATCGATTCTTTTCTTTTCTCGCCACCGTAGTTCACACAATAGTGAACACGTGATGTATTTATCTTAATTTATATCTTATTTATCTCAAAATCTGATTGGTTGTTCAGAAACCAATAGGAACATAGCACCTAAGAAAATAGACGAAAACACTTATAGTTTTGGGAAAATGACAAGGCAGGAGTTTTTGGACGTGATAAATTCGAATCTGGGGCCCCATCATCTCAATAACTTAATGATTAGTCTAAAATCAACAGATACCGATTTTTTGGGTAAACGAGTATCACTGAACGATCGTAAGAAGGACATTAGAAATCGAAAATCTGTCGAGCAAGATACCTTACTGGACGACCGGTGGCTTAATTGGGTGAGTCATGTTAAATACGCATGGAGCTTCAGAGAAACTGATACTTTGAAGATCATCTGCGGTGGGAATTTCGAATAAGTTGTCTGTTAGGCTCAAGATTTTGTTCACCGTAGATTTCGATGATCAAGTTCTTAACAGATCTTTTGCACAAAGATCTTTTTGTCTGTCTTTCTTTGCAACCAATCAAAAATTCAGTATATTTTCAGCAGTGCAAAGCACGATATACTGTTGTAACTCTCCTATTCCATAGATATTGTAAAACTGAAGTTCTAGACCAAGTAGATGTGCGGTTGTGTTGAGTTTTGATAGAAGCAGTTTTCCTTGCATGTGTGTATGAAGATTGATTTCTCAAATGGGTTTCCTCTAAACATAGAATCAAACAACTACGGGATTGGGACTTAAACTCCCATTAGGTGAGACAAGAGCCAGTCGGAATCGGAATGGATTGAGATAAGGGTTTGGGTGTGAGGTGTGGATGTGAAGGCGGGTGTGAGTGTTGTCCTTTTCCTAACCCACACCCCACACCTACACCCACACTGGCATTCACACTCGCACATCCACATCCATACCCCACACCCCACCCAGGACATCCATTTTCATATATATAATTACATCACAAGTGCACCAATGACTTCTTTTTCAATATCAGGAGTTGAATCTCGAAAACAATTTTACGAACAAGTGAGTGAACATCTTAAATCTTTAAATAAAAAAATTCAAGAAAAGCCAGTGACTACATAGACCATGAATGAAAAGACTTTTTGTCGTCTTATGAAGAAGTTTTTGCAACATGTCAATTCATATTTCATATCTTGGCATTGCATATCTTTTGCCATATAAAACAGTCCTAACTGGAAACTTTTATTGTACTACACCGAAATAACTAAATCAGAGTTAGTCTATGAAGCGGTGTAGAATATTCAGAAGCATATCCATGTTGAAACGGCTTATATAGGATATGATGTGCCTAAATAATTTATTGATGAACTATAGCTAGTAGAATCGATATATTTTGCAAATTGTTAGAAAATATTGCTGTTTTGTGTCAAAAACGAAAGATATTACAAAAATCTATTTTATCAATTTTACGAATAAGCTCGTTTCTGAACATTTAAACATCTACTTTTTAAATTAAAGCTCAAAACATGCAGTATACATAGCATCTTACCCTTCAAGTATTTGAACAGATGTGTAAGAGAATCGAGATAAATATAGTTTCAACCTCTTTTTTCTTTTCATTTTTTTGATCGGGCGAGTGTTTTCTATGAGCGTAACTAAAAATAAGTATTTGTTTCGATGAATCAATGCAAGTGGAGATGGACAAAATATGCTAATTATGAACAGGAGAACTCTATCAATTTGTAGCAGCCTCATGGTAACCATACTACTGATTGATTATATTCTTCCAGCTGCAGGGGCGTAGCCAAGAATTTTCCAAGGACGGTGTCCGACACATTATGGGGGGTGTACACCAGCAACGTAAATTTTTGTTTTGTCAAAAAGATTTTTTACTCGTACCCTCTTCCCCTCTCCTTCAGATATTTTTGGCCAAGAGAGATGTCTAGGAATTCTGTGCACTCCTGTTTACGCTTCTGCTCAGCTGTTTACATAGTTATCACATATAAATAATTTGTTTCAAGAAAGGTTAAAAACCATCAATCGTTTCATTGAAAGACTCAATCCGGCTTTACTTCAACAATATATATCGTCTATTATATCGAACTCTTCACCCTTCAAGACCTAGATAGATTTCAATAGAATACTGTGGCGAACTCTACATCTTCATAGATTATAATCAAATTTACATTGAGAAAAGTGGCGCACTCTACCTCTTCTGAAATTATTGTTAGATTTCAATTAAAGTTTAACATAAATTGATTGAAATATATAAAATTCATCATTTATTTTTATTTTCTTCGATTGTTTTTAATTTCAAAATCTTTTTAATAATTATGTTTAATTTTGCCTAAAGCTCAATTCTGTCTGACACCACATATGTATAAACATTAAGAAGAAAAAATCTTGAATCTAAGTTCTTAAATTAGAAGCTTATCATTTGCAAATAAACATCGCTACGGTGCATATTGAAAAACAAAGAAGAGATTGGTATAAGTGTAGATGTGGCTCTTGTGTGCATCGACGCACACCAATATTACAAACTAAAAATCAATAATTTCAATAAATATTCATAAGAATGGTCAGCCTCACGGCTATTGACTGAGAAATCTTAGCGTCCACCAACTAAGAGATTATCACGAGTTATCAAAGCAAGTAAATTTGAATGAAAAACAATTCGAATATTTCTGAATACTATTACGCTAATTAGATGATCATTAGTATCAAAGCATGTTATATCTTCTGTTCTTCAATTTTCTGCTCTTAACTTATTCTTTTAATACTTACTGTTGTTCTCTTATTTTTTTAAATCAATATTTTTATCTCTCTACTCATTACGCCATCTAAGTTTCTTTTCTCTTTAATGGTTTCAATGATACACCAATTGAATTTTTTTCCCTTTCCTGCCATTATTCTCGTGTAAGCAGTGCACGCTGTGTAGAAATATCGTATTATATTCTAGCTTATATCTCGATACCTTTTTCATTAAAAGGTACTACTGCACTTTATGTACACCCCCCATTGTTAATGTGCACAGAACCGAAAAAAAATTCTATTGGTGAAATGATTAAGCGATTGTTTCTCGATAAAATAAACACATTTAAATAGATGTCATACAAAAGCGATACGTGTTGTATTGAACAGAAAAAAAATAGCGATGACTACTAATTAAGATATAAGAAGTAATTAAGAACAACGTATTTGAAGTATTCATTATGAATGATGAATAAACTAAAATCAAGAAAGCAAAGATAAAAGTCGTTTTGATAATAAGATGAAAATTTTTCATTCAATTAAATTTTTTTAAAAAGTCTAGTAATTATATTTGAAAATGGAAGGGCTTATATATATATTATCGAAGTGTTCTCATATTCTCATAAGAAAAAATATTTCGATATTTTTGCTATAATAAAAAAAATGACTGATCTCGTGAATGTTGATGATTTGGATTCTATCAATACCAGAAAAATTCATCAACTAACTGCTACACAAGATTTTTTGTAGGCTCAGTAATACATTCTGATGAGTGGAGGGCATATTTCCAACTTAATAACCATGCTCTATACACCCATTTAACTGTGAATCATTCTGTACATTTTGTTGATCCTGCGACTGGCGTGCACACACAAAATATTGAAAATACGTGGATGAGAGTTAAACGAAAACATAAAAAACAAGGAGGATTTTCAAGAATTTTATTGCCTACTTATTTAGAAGAATTTATGTAGCGTCAGGATTTCGGCGATAAACCTCTTAAAAATCTTGTTTTACAAATACAATCTATTTATTCTGTTGTGTAATTTTTTTTTTAATAAAATTCTTTTCGTTCTCACATGACATCTATTTATATGTATTTATTTTATCGAGAAACATTCGCTTAATCATTTCGCCAATAGAATTTTTTTTCCGTTCTGTGCACATTAACAATGGGGGTGTACGTAAAGTGCAGTAGTACCCTTATTACAATCGACATTTCGATTAAATTTTTCTCTTCAATTATAGAATATACTATAGGTAAATATTAAATTAAATTTAATATAAGATAATTTCAATTTTATATAAATTAAATTTTTTTTAGAGAAAAACGTTAAAAATGATCTATTCATTGGTATTTTAATTTTTACTGTTCAATGTTATTGTTTAGAAAATTGTTAAAAAAGCCAAAAAATATTCATCATCATCATTTGCATCTACATCACCAATTTTTAATATTGATCCAAACATTGATGTTTCTAATCGATGAATTAATGTTGATTATTCCACAAGAGAACCATTATTTGATAGTATAAACGAAAAACATAATGTTAATAACATGACTTTTCGTTTATCTTGTCAATTAACTGCTATACTTAATAAAATTATAAAATTGCTGGATGATACAAGTCTTTCCTTTAACAATAAATTTCGTCTTTAACTTCGACCTGCATCATTTAATAATAAAGATATTCAAAATCAGTCCTAGGAATTGAGAATGAACGTTGATCCAGTTACTTGGTTTAATTTACAATGGTGTCAATGTGGTGATATTGAAAAATATCAATGTGAATGTCTTGAAAAAGTAGGATTGCCGTTTTCTTGGCAGTTTTATTTTAAGTTTAGATTTCTATAAATTTCAATTAAGAAATTTGACTTGAAATTGTCTTTAGTTTTATTTTGTTTTTCAACCTTAATTCTACTAATTAACCCTTTACGAACCGACTTTTTTTCAAGAAGTGGTAAACAGTATCGTGAGAATCAGTTACAATCTAGAAATTATAAGCTGTATATCTGTTGCGCTTGCTCTTGTTTGTAGAGAGTGAGACAACGAACTTTCTAGTAGAAAAAGATACAAAATATACAATCATCCCACTTCAAAATGTACAAAGATCTTTCGCCTTCTGTTTCAATTTTGTACCCGTATATATACGGGCACGGTCCGTAAAGAGTTAATTAGATAAAATAAGAATAAAAAAATAAAATCTATTTCAAATTAAAGTAATCTAAAACTGATTCGATTTATGTAAAATATTTTTTGTATAAATATCTTAGCCATGAAGATGTTTAGACATGTTCGTATATAAAAAAATATCGTTCGTTTGCTCCTGATCAAATACTATCTATATCATTACACGAATGAATCACAGCTTCTCCTTACTGTGAATACCAATTAACATGTAATAATAAAAAAAAATTTCTTAATCATCCAAAACATACGGACATTATATGCAAAGCTATAGCAAAGGAGCAGATAGATGATGGTAACCATCACATAGTGACACTGTGGGAAGCTTTCGCATAAGCAGGTGGATATGCAACTTTCTTTCACGAAAACGTTTTTCTCTTGCTCAGAAATGATAGTATATCACTCAGAAAACCATATTTAAGAGGGAAAAGCATTTTCAGAAAAAAATTCTTTTTGACGAAATATGTCTAGCGGACCTCCATCCTATATTTTTTTCGGGAAATTTATTTTTTGAAAACTACTTTGAGCTTTATATCATTCGATGCAGTTTGATATACTGATTACGAATATTGCCTTAATTTTCCTCCAAGGTGCAATTTTGATGGCAAAAATCGAATTTTCGACTAAAACCTTGGGTTTTTGGGAAACCTCTAAAACAGCTTAGAATATATTTCACGAGTTGGTGCTACTGTCATCATTAGAGTACACATGTAGGAGTATCTGGTAAAAATTTCAGCTCGATCAAATGTTACTCCTTCGTAGGGTTTGCAAAGTCCGAAGCAGTAAGTTTTCGGGCTGGTATCTGCGTTGAAAATGGACCAAAAATTTCTTTAAAAACTATTTTATATATATGGTTCGATGCAGCTTGACGAGCTGATTCCGAATATCACCTTAGTTTCCCTTCAAAATGTAGCACGAGTGCCTAAAATTGAATTTCTAGTCAGGGACCTCGGGTTTTTGAGAACCCTCTAGAATAGCCTAGGAAAGGTTTCATGAGTTGGCGCTACTACCATTATTAGAATACATATGTAAGTATATCTGGTCAAAATTTAAGCTCGATCAGATATTATCTCTTTGTAGAGCTTGCAATATACGGTATGGTAGGTTTTCAGGTAGGCTTTCGACCTAAAAAGTCTTTGTTTTCTACTCTATTTTAAATTGGTTCATGATCATTTTTTTTAACATAAGGCTGGGTGGGGTGTGGGTGCGGTTATTGCTAGAGAAAAGAAGCACACGCCCACACCTCACCCACGCAGTCACATCCACACCCCAAACAATCGTCATTCTTTATTTATTTTTCTTAACTTATGTCTTTTTGTATTGTTCTTATGGTGAATTTTTGTATTTATTCTGATGATGACAAAAGAATATTGTCGAAATATCAATAAATAAATACGATGTGATTAGTTAAATCACAATGTTCGTTGCATTTCTACATTTCATTTTCTCTATCATTAACTAGGATCTAAAAACAATAATAAAATCTTTAATTTAACTTGATATTCGAAAAGACAATAATAATAATACAAATCATTTGAATTCATGTAAAATTGAACAAAATTCTATTTCAATAACCCAAAAAACAAATAACTACTCAAGTTTAATTATATTCTGCTATGTAGTAATAATTAATATGAAGAAATAATCTTGGGATTTTAATCAAATATGAATAAATCAACAAATGGAGTTTTATTCGATTGTTATTCTTGTATCTACTCTAGGTATTTGTTTAGTGCTTTTTGATTGAAAATGACCTGAAGAAGATCGAAAATTTCCATTTCCTATTAAATATATAAAATATATAAAATATTCGAATAAAAATGCACTTGTTGATTTATTTCATATTTGATTAAAATCTCAAGGTTATTCCTTCATTAAAATTTCGAATTGGAAAGAGAAAGAAATGAGTGTACTTAGATGGATTTCTTATAATAAATTCAAGAAATAGACAACTGACGAATCATCATGCGTTAGAATTTTTCTTCATCAGTATTTTTTTTATTCAGTTAGTGCTATCTCATTTTGTCGACATGTTTTAGAAAATCTTCTTGATGAGTGCGATATCTATTGCATCGATGTTGGAAATTACGTTTATCAGCTTTTCTTGTTTAAAGTAACTTTAGTTATTAGTTAACAGGTGATGGATAAAGTTAATTGAAAAGATTTATTTCAAGTTAATTCAAAAGGATTAAAAATGCCATTTGATTGATGATCATTACCTTATAGATATTTCAGTTAAATGATTCATTTATCTTTTTATTTACTAAACAAAAATGAAATGACAAGACTTTCTTTTCAGAAATGACATCATTTTTTTCGAATACCTTCTTTTTTTTGGTAAATTCAAAGTTTAATATTTTAGAAAAATATTTACATTTGGTGGATATTCAACTACAACGATGATGAACACTATTCCATTTGCATTCGCTGATGCTTTGACTACTACTTCTCGAATGACTACGGCTTCTGCAAGTCCATTTACATTTGGTGGTACTAGTGGAGGATTTCGATTTGATGCAGCATCACCTTCAGCAACAACAGCTGCTACTCATATTACACCAAGATCATTCTCGTTTGGTGCAACAGGTAGAGGTCCTATTACTCAATCATCTTCATTTACATTTGGATAAACTCCTACAACAGCTGCAAGTCAACCTGCAACATTTGCATTTAGATGAATAAGCACAGCTCCACCAGTACAACCAACTCCTTTTTCATTTGGCACTCGAGTGACAGCAAGAGTAGCACCTACTTCAACTAATTTTCTTCCTGTAACAGCATCAACAACAACTTCTTCATCGGTAAATAATACACTTTCTAATCTTCTTTCTCAACCAATTACTACAAGATCATCTCCAATTATTATGACTACATCAGGTACTCCAATATTTCCTCTTTCATCGATAACAAAACAACAACAATTACCAGATTTGTACAGGATGGGCGTAAAGTTACTTTACCGAGAAGAAAAGCTTGAGTATCTCTCGCATACTTTGACCAAATCGACTAATTTTTGCAGTGCTAATAAAGAAGTACTCAGAGATGATATTCATAAGAAAAACGTTGAAAAATATTGTCTTCAAGTATTACTTTTAACATGGATATTAATCTGAAATCTTCAATGAGTTATTAAAAAAAAAACAGCTTTTTATAAATAATTCATCGAACAACTCGAGTTGTTTACGACTAGAACTTCCATGATACACTAAGTAAGAGGACATATATCTCTAGCAGAAATTTTGGATTATAAGACAATTGATTGAAAACATTGTTTGTTGCTTATTTGTCATCAGATAGATAAACATCTTGCATTTTAAGTAATACTTCGAGAGAGTATTTTTCAACGTTTTTCTTATGAATATCAACTCTGAATACTCCTTTATTAGCACTGCAAAAATTAGTCAAATTTGGTGAAAGTATGGGAAAGATACTCATGCTTCTCTTCTTGGTAAAGCGACTTTAGGCCCGTCCTGTATTTATAATCTTGTTTAGTTCGATCGTGAGAATTAACTTTTCCAACTGTGATATCTTGTCTGATGGAGGTTATTGAGATCAGAGAGAAATGAAGAGAGTACGTGCTTTTTTATCCTTTTTTAGTTTGTTTTTCGTAAATCAGTCTAATAATGATCCGAGATAGTTTGTGAAGATAAATATTGTTTTCTCGATAATGTAACATCTCCTGAAAACTCTCATATCTGAACATGTACCTTTTCTGTCTACAAATATGGCATTTGGTTTTTTTTATTATTATATCGATAGATCAAATTAAAATTATAAACTACGGAGAGTCATTATATGAATTTTTATCTTTTAAAAAGTACTGTTCTTTCTTTCAGAAGTTTTCTTTGACTAAATTTAGCCTATTTGAGTGTGCTGAGATGAAAAATGAGGATGAAATATATTGATAAATGCATTAAATGTTTATTTGATTAGAATAAATATGATTAACTCTTCGTAGCTGCCCTGATTTTGTAACTTCGTAGCTGTTCTGAGGTCCGCGCGAACTCACCTATAAAAAAAATCATCAGACGTTATTACTAGGGTTTTCTTCAATCCTTTCATACATGTATGCACCAGTATTAACTAGAGATTAGAGAAGGAAAATGGTCGGAAACAGCAAGTATTAATGAAGTAATACACGAAAAACTGCAAAATGGGTCCGCTCGGACTTCAGAACAGCTACTAAGGGTTAATATTATTTTCGAAATTGTGAGATGTTTTCAAAAGTTGTTCGAATTCTTAAATCACAAAGATTCGATACAATCAGATTATTTTTAAAAAGTTCCAGAAAAATTATTTCTAGGAATAGTACATGATTTTTTTCATTTTTTAAATGTTCAATTTTCGATGATTATTTTGTTGAATAATGGAAACTTCACTTTTAATTTATCTCAATTCGGCGTATTATTAAAATCGAATAGAAATTTCGTATTAAATTCGTTGGAAGAAATCAGTGATGAAAGATCGTTAAGGCTTGTCTTTAGAAGATAATTTATCAAGTCAGTGTATTAATATGAACTGACAAAAGAAAAGTCATCATTACATTTAACAAAAATGAACGAAAATTTGGAACTTTAATATCAATGATGAGGCTAAAATCTTATCAAATCAAATCTCACAAGTAAGAAAAGTAAAAAGTGTCGCTTTATTTTTTTGGTACAGTTCATATCCTAGACGGTTTTGATGTTTGTGCAGTTCAATAGGTGTCCTTCTGTATAACAATACTTTTTCTTTGTTTTAGTTATTGATTACCTGCTCGTATTGATAGTACACAAATAAATAATTGAAAGAACCAATTTAGTTAACCATTTTGCGTGACCTTTTGATTATCATCAGCTGGTCAAAAGCGTTTGATAGCTTCCATTTTTCTAAAGCATATTCTTTATTATATATTTTTTTTTAAAAGAGAGAATATATGTTGAATTATGCTATTGAAGAAATAAATTTGAGGATTTTCCGAAGGGTCAACTAGTGACACTTAGTTAGTATTTTTAGATTTTCATAATGATCTCTGATAAAAATAACTTGTCCTCGGCTATAATCGATGCAAACGAAGACATTGAATCATCTCATATGTGTAAAGTATGTGGAAGTAAGGATGCACACAAGTATCTAGGTATTGAATGTTGTGCCTCATGTAAAATGTTCTTTCGTCGAAATGCTGATTTTAATATAGTAAGTCGACGTTTTTATCTCTGTTAAATATTATTTTGGTTCTACTTGTGTGTAGAATACTCATCAATGTGTATTTAATGAAGAGTGTGATATAACTGTGAACAGTCGAGGAGCATGTCGGTATTGTCGGTTCAAAAAATGTTTGTCTGTTGGTCTAGATAAAGATTTAGTTCGTGGTCCATATTCTCATCAAGATCGTGCTCGAAAAAAAAGGAAGCAAAAGAAATCAACTGATATCTCAGATGAAAAAACACTTTCTCTTCCAGTCGTTATTCCAACACGTAATTTGCTTAATAATGATCGATCATTATTAACAACTAATCAATGGGGTCTTCTATCGAATGTTATCCATGCTTATGATGACAAGTCTCCGGTATCAACTATACGCAGTACAATGACTCTTCAGGCAGCTTATCCAGTAAAGATGCGATTCAAGATGGCAATGGACTGTTTCAAACATATGACTGGTTCAATGTATCTCAGCGCTGGTCCATTTATAAAAACAATGCCTGAATTTGTGAACATGTCAATCGATGATCAAGGTGTACTTGTTGAACGAAATATTCGAAGTATGAGTGGTGTTAGTGGAATACTCGTAATGCGTGAAGCGGATGTCTGCACAAATCCTTATTATCATAATGCTTCTGTCGCTATTTATGGACATCAACGGATCCACCAAGCCATGAGAATCATCGCTCAAACAGATAATGATGGAACATTAATAAAACTCATGATACCTATCTTGGCTTTATCAACATGTTCTGATATTCTCGATACAGTTGTTGACGATATGACCAGTAAGTATTGACAATCTTTAAGTGATTCGATTATATAAATAAATTTGACATGGTAATATATTCGTCATATTTCTCTCCATAGTATTAATTCCCTGCTTCAAACCGATGGAATGTTCAAGTCTATTCATTAGAAACTAAGTCAATGACACAAAAAAGCCGAATCCTTATTAAGCATTAAATTAAAGATCCATCTGACCAAATGGATCTAACTCGTTTTCGCAGTTAAAAACGAAAGGTTCTTCATGTAAAAAACCAAATTTCATAATAAAAATAAATATTTTTTGATAATTTTTCAAAAAATGGATTTTTTTCTCGCGGGGTAAAAGTAAGGGAAATTTCTGAAAAGAAAATGACCAATTTTTTAAAAATCATTCACTTACTATTCGCCTTAATATTCTTCAATATTTAGATATTACTGCAACTCCCGGCGGAACTCGTTTTTTTTCAAATACTTTGAGCCTTTTAAAAGCTCAAAATATCTACGTTGAAATGATGTTCAAATACATGTTATATCGATACGGTTATAATGAAGCGTCATTAAGATTTTCCAATCTCATTAAGAATTGTCTCGATCAAAATCTTATGTTAACAGGTGATGGTGATCTTAGAAAACATCAACAAATGGTGCAAGAAATCACCGAAGAAACTGAACGATCATTAACATTGCACGATGAACCCATCGAGTGAGATTTCCAATAATATTGCATTCGAATCAATTGTGACAGAGAAACAAAACTACTCTTTTGTACAGAAAATTATTATACTGGACAATATTTTTTGGACGATTTTGTTTTGTGTATAACTTT